CCCCTCCTGTTTGTTCCCAGCCCTCAGATCTTTCCTGGGTTGAATTTGGTTTTTTTTTTTCCCCAAAAAAAAAAAAAAAAAAAAAAAAAAAAAAAAAGAAGGACGTAAAGTGATGAACAGTAAAAACACCACCACACATCTTTCTTATTAAGAGTCAACTGATTAATCTGGAAATCCTTTAACAATTTCAGATTGTAACAAGTGAAAATGTGAAAACTTTTCAGAACCATAAGAAGTAAATGTTTGGTTGAAGTGTCATAAAATCAGCACTTTTATTAGTTCCTAAAAATAAAATTAAAATCACTGAGTGGTACTGAGACTGAAAAGCTTCATTGTAATGAAAAAAATATATGAATATCTGAGAAAAAAAAATCTCTTAATGGCTGCTGTTGTAGACTGCTAGTAGAAAAACTTAACACAAAATGAATCTCTGAGTATTGTCCAACACATAATCCTCTAATATATCTTTCTCTCATATCATCACTCTAGATTTATGATAACAAGGCCAGCTGCAATTGCTCGCTACATCTTGGAGATTTTGTTTCCAGCTCTCGTAGCAGTCTGTCAACATGGCATGAAAGCTCTTAGAAGCCCCTTTCACAAAACACTTCAAGTCGGGATATAGTCTCTTTCTGGCCATCTGTGTGTACCAGGCAGTATGACACAGCAAATCAACATATCGCAGTTTATGCCACCAAGTCATGCAGCGAGCTTATTTTCTTCGAACCCATTTCCAAAAGGTCCAAAGTTGTCAAGGCTAAACTTGGTCTATATTTGGTTTAAAAGTGAAAGCTGTTGAAACATATTTTTAGACATTTATTAGAAGAAGACTAAATATAGACCAGAACAAGCCGGTCTTAAACTCCAGACTTACTGATCGCAAACACCTTGTTTTCACTATACGAGACACACATTTCCATCTTTATTTTGTAAAGCTGATTCTCATCTGCCTTTGAGACTCTATAAGATTAACCCCCACCCCCTTTTTAATTTTTTTTTGTCAGCACTAGTGGCCTGTATTTGATAGTGGCTTGACAGGAAGAAGGGCAGAGAGAGAAGGGGAGGACATGCAGTAAATGGCACAGAGTCGGGAATTGAACCTGGGATACTTGCGCTGAGGATAGCAGCCTTTGATTTTTGACAGAATAATCTTTAAGCTTATTTGAAGTTGGTTTAAAAAAAACAAAAAAAAACAGGTAGGAATATGTAAAATAATGTAAGGTATTTCGTGTTATTATGAACCTTAAAACAATTTCTAATTATCTTATTCTATTTTAATGTGAATATTACACTGTTTTGGAGAGAAAGCTGCAAATTCCAAACTATGCGTTTACATTTCTTAACTGTAATTTAAAAACTAGGTTATATGTAAATGACTGGCTCTGATTAAGCTCACTGCAACAGTCAGTTTGTGAGTTGACAGCTTTAGACTTGTTACTTGTCCTTCTGAAAAAAAAAAATATCACATTGCCTATAATCTTCAAATGAGTGTTATTATACTTGGATGCATCACATCATTGTTCAATAAAGACTCTCCACTGGTTACTCATTTTACATACACATGATCATGACATGATGGAAGACCGTGGAGTATTTACAGTGGACTCAGATGAAAGCATCGAGAACGTTATCATATTCACCATCCTTATGAGTGTCATATTCTTGTTGATATTCTGAAGATGATCTGGTTGCATTTCTCCAAGATCTTGTCTTATATTTCAATAAGCCACAAAATAAACTTTCCAGTGATTTAAAACAAGATCTAGGTGTAATGAAAAAGATTTTTACAGCTGTCAACCTATATACTGTTTAAATACTAATGCCAGATATAACAGTTCAATTAGGCAACATCTGCTTCTCCATCACTAGTTCTCAGGTTCTGGTTTCCTAGCAACCCTGACTGAAATGGATGAGAAGAGAACGTGAGATCGATCAGCAGGGGAGGAAGGAGGTAACAAAGTGACACCGAGCGAACGTCTGTGCTGCAAATGACACGAGTGACAAGTCAAGTGCCGCACAAAAATGTGGTGGATGATGGTTGCCCTCATCCATTAGCTCCTAAAAAGTCTTCAACACAAAAGATTACATGGGTTACACATCCACGTTTAGCTCTGTTACTGTTACTGCTGCAGAGTTGAAAAGACTTTGCTATCCAGTAACGCTGCGTTTCTGAGTTGCAGACAGGCTTTTAATAATGCATGAATGTGAAAAGGGGAAAAGAGAAAAAATCAATATTAGTATAGCAGCAATGTTAGCTGTGCTGTATGAAGTTATATGTGAGAAGACTTTTTTTCTGCCGTTTCTATCGTGGTGCTTTCTGCTCTTTGAACCTTTGCTTCTCACACTGATGTATTTTTACACCTTTCACAATAAACATTGGCATAGCAACCACTGAAGTCTCTAATGCAGCTAGTATAAAATGTATACTTATTTCGCATTTAAGGAAATGTATGCAAATAAATTCTTTCAAAAGTCAAACATTCAATGAGACATTTTCACATGTTTTCTCCCTTTTGGTCAAATCCATATGATTAAATATAGTTTCTTCATGATCTTTGCCTAAAAAAAATATTTTCATTATGTTCACTTGATATTAAATTTAATTTAATAAATAATGTCAAAGGCTCAGGACAAATTATTTTATCAGTACAAAGTAGCCAAAGGACACAAATCCAAATGCTGTGTTGAATTAAAGACAATTAATGAGTTAACATTTCTGCTTTACTGCTTGTCTTATTTTGGCTCTGGTGTTGCTTTAGTTACAGCACTTAGAAAAGGACTGGACTTTGAACATCGAGAGGAGTCGGTGTCAGGCATCTGATGAGGATGCCTCCTGGAGATCTACCGGGGCACATCCCACCGGTAGGAGACCCAGGTCTCAGCTGTGTGAAAAAGTGTTGGTTTTTTCATACCGCACACCAACACTGCACATCACTTGAACACGCCATCCCTTACTGTAAAAAATGGTGGTGACATCATCGCGCTTTGGGGATTGTTTGCAGTTGATGAAATCTTGAGATTGGGATAGCAGTTTAGCTTTAAGCATGACTATGGTCTTCCACATGCAGCCAGAGCTGCAATGCAATGGTCCAGATAAAAGCATAGTAATTTTTCATAATGGTCTAGTCAAAGTCTAGATCTAAACTCAAGTTAGATTGTGTGGCAAGATATGAGAAATCAATTTCAGTCAAATCTGACTGAACTTAAGGGGCCGCATGCAGTGTGTGTGTGTGTGACAGAGTTCAGAATGTATGAAAACTCTTGTATGGCTCTAAAGTTGTTAGATGTTAAAAGATTTTGCATTAACTTGCAGTTGAACCACAACATCAGCAAACAAACAAACCCATGACAAAGCAGTCGCACGAATTAGATATGAACGATAAACGGTGTCTTTTCTCTGTTCTGCACCATCACACATGATGTTGAATTACAGAATTTTTTTTTTCTTTTTTTTTCTTTTTACGTTAGATTAAATCATTTGTGAATTGATTAAATCATTTGTGAATTGATTAAATCATTTGTGAATTGTTAATTTTACAAAAGGAAGTGCTTCCTCAGGCTCCATAACTGGTTTAAAACTGTTTGTCATGAGCATTTCTGAAGCAGAGTGCTGTCTCTGATTAAAAACAGTTGAAGACAACAAAACATTTTCCTTGGAACAATCCAGCAACTGACATCTGAACAAAAATGGGCTTTTTCACAACCTCAGCAGAAGGAAAAAGCGATGCATATAAAAAGCCTGCTCTGTTGATAAGGCCTATCTTCAGCGTGCAGCGTCTGGACAGCTGCTGCACAGGTTACGAGCTCGGGTTGAAAAGAAGGATACGGGACTGCAGCTGCAGGCTGCCAAGGCTGGGCACCGGGACAGAAATGTTTGGCTGGCAGGAGGAGGGATGTTGTGCAACTTACTGTGTAGAGTTCATTGGTGACTTTCACTAACTCTTCGTGCATCTGGACGCCGATGTCTTTACTCTGCAAAGAAAAGAAAAGAAAACAGCAGCAGCAGCAGATTTAGTGGAGAAATAACATGCGGTATGCATAAATATAAATATGAAAACTACTGTTGTAATCATGGCATGAAACCCTTGAAAGCTGCGTGGCAGTTTTATTTCTACGCGAAGGCTGTCATTAAGTGCCGGCATGCTGTCATTACTCTGCAGTTGAGAGGATCTAATACAATGCCCAAAGAGAAAAGCCAGACAAAAATAGAACAGTGCAGTCACTGCAGAACATTTCTCCTGACAGAGAGTCCCAGCTTCAGCTCAGTTACAGGGAATGGGAGCGTATGATGAATTGGACATTTCGCACAATAGGGCTTTTAGGCAAGAAGAGGGAGAGAATGGTGCCAGCTCCAGTGGAGTGTGACTCTGGAAATCCTGTTGAGTGGATAAAGAACGCCGTTTTGGCCGCTCTATCCCGTTTTGTTGTCACCTCTGAGGCACGACTCCTCAAAACCACAAACTTGCATTTTCACATGCTTAGACAGTAAGACTTCAGCACATTTGGTCCATTTTAGAGTCTGTCTTATCAAGAGCCAGAGGTGATTCACTCCTGTCACCGCATGTGTAATTCATTACCATCAACTCTGCACTGCAGCTGAACCAGGAAGCTCGAGCATAACAGGATTATTGTCATATAGGAGTCTTAGCACATTTTCTGTGACAGATTTCCAGCAGGCGGTGATCAGTAATCTCCTTTAACCTGGCCCAAGCCAACCATCTTTAACCACCTTCACATTAGTGCATCTTTTTAGATTCAGTGTTAATATATTAAAAGCCCACATTTGCTATTGTTAAACAACACAAAGAGCCTTGTTGTGCAGGGTGGCTGTATATTGCAGGGGAAAACGTCAGTAACAAGTAAAGAGAACATGTTCACTAATGTTTAAACTTTGCTTGTGCCTCCTGATTAGACCCTCTTCATAAATGCCTTGTTAGTAGCATAGACACACTTTTACCTTACTTCCAAGAAAGCATTTCCAAAACATTTGGACGGTCACTAAATGAGTGCCACCCATGAAAATGACTACATCAAGCTCATGTTTATTCGCCATTTGTGTTAATTCTTTTGTATTAATATCCAAATAACAATATGATTTTAAGTACAATAAACAAGGTTTTATAATATTTTACCAGCAGCAGGAATAATTATTGTCTTTCAACCATGTTGTACATGTTATGTGTTAAAACTGTGGTATGTTTACTCAAGATGATTAGAAAGTGAGAATGTCATACAAGCATAAAAGTTACATAAATAAACTTTATAACCGCTATGTGTGTGTTATGTGTACTGATCTTCCCACAACATGCATTAGAAATGTAATTTGAGCCGTTCGTTTGCATGAATGTGCGTGTCTTGTAAGGATCAGTTCCATTCTGACCTTTTTGAAGAGTCTGGTGACATCCTCGCCCACGTGTGCCAGGCGGACAATGACGTTGTTGTTGTAGATGTCGCTGAGAGTGGCGTGGTCTCGGCTCTCTCGCCGGGTCTGGTCCAAAACCAAATACCAGCAGTTCACAGTGGAGATTAGATTTTGGTCTTTCCTGCATGGAGGGGTAGGGGGAAGGACACCTTGTTGGTACAAATGTGCATCTTCAAGGAGTACTTATAGCTGCGCCAAATGTTTCATGTCTCAACTCTGATCAAAGTAACTTAAAACATGAGGCTTAATGAAGATTTTCCCCCTTGAACAACCCTGAAATCCATCAATAAATACAAGCAGTTTTTACCAATTACAGATGAAAAAGCCGGAGGGCGTGCAGAGAGGAAATCAGTGCACACACAAATGTGAGGCATGCCGTTTGCCTGACTGCTCAAAGAAGCATGTGAGTTCAATTATCCTCACACCAAACAGTTTATCATCTTGTTGTTGATTTTTCTTGCATGCATATATGTGTTGGTGTTTTTCAACCTTGCTATGATTGGGATCAGGTTTAGATAAATAGAATCATGTTACTATTTTTAATGTTTAATCAAAAAAAAAGAAGAAGAAAAAGGTGGTAAAAATATATATATTTTCCCCTGCAAATAGGTAATCTAATCCAGAATTCAAATTACATCTAAATGGCTCAGTATGTATAAAAAAGGAGAAATCAAATTTCATCACTTTTATAGCTTTTACTAATAAGGAAGAATACTTAAAAGATAGATTTCAAGCCAAGTACAACATCTATGTTAATCTTTAAAAGCATTGATAAATTTCAAAAGAGGTTCATGCTTTTGTTTATTTAAAATGCACACTGGCCGTACTTTGACACGAAGCTGACTTTAATCTCTAATCCTCAGGTATATTCAATGACTGATCCCAGTTTTCTTCCTCATCATAGTTTCTGTGCTATGACAAAGAAACCTAGAGTCAACTTTATTGTGATTCACACAGAGCACCCACAATAAAGACAGACGGTCACCTGAAACCACCGAAACTATTTGGATTTGATTTGCTTCAGGAAACTGGAAGGTTTCTTTGATATTACAAACAATTAACCACACACTGTGAGTCAGCGCATACTCTGAAGTATTCTCCAATGAATAATGTGAGTGTGGTTAAGGCTTGGCTTTATATTTACTTAAAGTTTATGATGTTGCTCTTCTTTTGTACAAATGATGCAGGAAAAATGTCCAAACTCCTAATATCTTAATGCACTGTTTTGTTTTGTTTTTTCACCCCTTAAATACAACTAAAAAAAAGGGCTATGTATCTCCATCGCTTTTTTACTTCAGATACTTGAGAAAAAAAGAAAAAAAAAAAGCATCAACAAGCTATTCCTATTGGCTCGCCTCTCAAACTGAGCTGGTGTTTGATCCTGGACATGCCTTCAAGATGACAAGATAAAAATGTCTGCCTGCCGGTTGCTCAAGAATAAGGATGAGTCTTTTCGTATTCAGAGCCCCGGCAGCGCAATGTCGAGCTGTTTAAGGAAAATGACAGAAAGCGGTTTTCCACTTGACAGCCTATAAAAAAAAATACAATACCTATTTTACAGCTCCGCCATTGCATCAGAAGAACACAAAACTTAACTCAAGAACCTTTTACCGATGGCACAGAACATAAACTGAATCTGTTACCTCATTCACTGAACATGATGGATATGCAGTGCCTTGCACAACAATTCATACCCTTTGTTTTCAGATTTCAATAAGAAGACTAGAGGCCAGTAACTCTTTGAGAGCTGCAGAGACTCGCAGCTCAGGTAAGAAACGGCAGATAGTGGTGCATTTAGCAAATATGGCAAATAATTATGGAAGGGTGCCATGAAGAAAGTGATGAAACATATACGTTTTTGCTTTTTGTCATAAGGCATTTGACGCATGCATTCTGCAAAGAAGAACTGGCAAATATTTCAGGTTTTGAGATACACAAATCTGTAGAGATAAGACCTCACCTTTGCTTTACTGTCCTACGTGCGAGTGAATACTCAGACTTGATTTTTTGTGAAAAATCTTTAACAATTAAATGCCCTTATCTTTCCACTTGTGAAGTACATATTACTTCACTATTGTGAAGGTACTGGCTGTTACCTAACAAAATGTAAAAAAAAATCGACTGGTATGAGATATTTTGCAAGGCACTGTTCGTTATGAGTGATGCATGTGGACAGTCCCTTGTAAAGTAAATCCGTACAGTTAATTTAGTACATGTAGCAAATTTTTTTACTCCTATATGAGCTTCTCACGCATGAATTCAGTCATGCACAGTGACACAGAGAGTAGAAATGTTATCATAAGTGGGGAAAATGGAATAAGAGATGGCTTAAAGAGCAGAAGTGAAACAACTCCAGGTTATTAATGGCATTAAAGAGCCCCTCCAATCTCTTCTACAAGCATAAAAGTAGCTTTTGACATTCAGTTATAAGGATGACCATTTAATGTGATGGAGAAATCTGGGACAGTGAGGGTGTGGGGAGAAGTTTCTGCAGGAGTCTCCCTCTGAGGGAACGCTCCATTAATCAATGTCCTAGTGATGGGAGCTCTCAGCCATGATTGCGCTTTGGGTCCAGTTGGCTAAAGAGAGACTTTATGATGGAGATGAAAAGAGTTTCCCTGCATAAATCTCTGTATGGCTGTAGCATAAATAGATGTACAACTACTTACAAATCAATTACTCCAATTGAACCACAGTGCTAAATTGTAAATAACTGATTTTCTATTTGCTAATATAAAACTACTTTACATAAAAAAAATGTGTACGTATCAATGTAGAAGATACAGATCTATAGGGGTGTAATGAGATTTTTTTGGTTTTGACAGACATCACTTGCTAATTAAAACACTGAAATAAAATCGCCACTTTTAATCTCGTTTGTCTGGCAGTAAAACTAAAAAAATAACTGTGAGACAAAATACAAGTGTTGATCTAAGTACTGTGAGAATTACACAACTGGGTAACTGTTAGCTTCTAAAATTAGCATGTGCTTCATCACTTCCAAACTGTGTGAAACTTAACGGCCCGTTAGTTGTAATAAGACTGGACAAAATAGGATCATACGTAGTTCGTGACCTAAAATATTTAAACTGATCGGACAGGAGATGGATAATTCTAAGACATTCTTAAATCTCAGGTTCTGTAAAAATAGTTCAATTTATAATTACCAAGTTGCTGTCAATATGCAATCCTATCCAGCAAGGTAAGCTCAAGTTATCAGTTTTGTGCTGCAAGTATGAAGATAGATTTTTCAAAACTGTTTTTATGTTTGAGCCTCACACTTTGAAGTAAAAGAAAATAAAAATAAAATAAAATCATCCCACTAAATCCTTTGTGTAGAAGAAATGTAAAAATGCGACAGACAAGATGTGAACAATTTGCAGGGTTTGTTATATAACCACTTTATAAAATAAACTGGGAAGTGAAAAATGCCACAGCAAAATGTTTTTTTTTTTTTTAAGTAATCTGAGATTCTAGTTGTAGAAATCACAAGCATACCTACATTTAAAAAAAGTAAATATATACAATTAATTTAGTGCATTTATAATATATTTTCTCCCTTATGAGCAAATATATTCACTTTGTATTGGATCTATTAAACAGTGCATCCAATAATTTATCTTGCAGTCTTCATTGATCAATGTTCCAACCTCACAAGAAAATATTATGCTTCAAAGCATTATTAATGTCATTTTTGTATAGTTATCTTCATGCCAAGTGATTCTCATTAACAAAATCGAGTTGGGCAATTTCTGAACATGCACAGTCACAGTGTGCCGGAGGCTAGTCTAAGCATCATCTCCAGCATGCTGCAGGCCATCGCTGCTGCTGCCCATGACAAATGATCACAATACACTGAAAGTTAAACTAGAGAAAATTTGTAATATATCACTTTCTTTCTGCTTCATCGGATTCTAAATAAAGATATGTCCCAGTTTCTCAGCAAAATGTGAATTTATGCTTGTTTGGCTAGGATTTTATTGTGATGATTTTTGAAAATGTGAACGACCTGATAGCCGGAGAATAAAAGAAGGGGGTGGAGGGATAGATAAAGAGTCTGACCTAGTTGGAAGGAACAGAGCAGCCCGGGGCCACAAGGCGTCTTGGCCCTGGATTCATTTCAGGTCATTTCCTTTGCTTTTATCCCTTCTCCCTCCTTGCTTTTTATCCCCCCTCTGTTTTGCTCGGTGTCTGCAGTGGCAGTGATCTGCATGGCACACGTGTGATGTTTGTTTATCAGGTGTTTTTCTCTGCTTAAAACACTCACTTGAAATGCTGGTGCTCTCTGGAGCTGCGGATCTTGGAGGAGTAGCGCTCAGCCAGCTTATCCAACCCTCGGGAATACTCTAGCTGGAGTTCGGCCTTTCGGCGAAAGAACTCTTGCAGGTCCTGCAGCAGCTGCAGCCGGGACTCGGACTGCTGCTCCAGACATCGGAACTGCTCCACCAGCTGGTTACGAATCTCTGTGCAACAAAACAAAAGAGAATTAGCAAAATAAACAGAGCCTCTCTACATGTCTGCGTCCCCCCTTCCCCCCTCCCAATTAGGATCAACAAGGCATGTGAGGGCACATTTAATCCAAAAGTAATGCAACCAAACAGAACAAAGTCATCATAAGCGGAGAAGACCAAAATGTCAGAATTCATTTGTCTGCCAGCTTTACATGCAAGTGTTTGTGGGGATAGAGGGAAGGAGAGAGAGAGAGCAGGGGTGTCTGCTTGCTGGGGTTGCACACGTGCATACAGTATGAGATGCATGTCTGATGATTGCAGCAGACAGCACGGAAAATTCAAAATAGGTCAGCTTCTCAAAATGCATTGTGCCGAGAGAGCCTTCAGAGGACATTGGCTGAACAAACTGTGAGCATTTGTCTTATTATATGATTACAATGGTTCCTCTGTGTTTGAGGTTTGAACACCAAATTGTATCGAGTTAAAAGAGGGAAAAGTCTCGTTTTAGGCAAACATTTTGAAGCACAATTGAGAGACATAAAACAAGAAAATGCAACGTCGTCCCTTTGTAAACAAATACATTCATTTTTTTTTTTTTTTTTTTGTAAATTGGCTGCTATTCAGTGTTATGCAGTTAATGTCCAGCAGACAACCAGGCCACTTGTTTTACTGATAAGGACAGGTTTACAGTTTTATCAGTACGACAGCTAATAAAAACCTCCTGACTCCTTCCTGAATAGCCTAGAATTTCAATGAAGCCATTTCCAGTCATCTCTGGCATCCCATGTAATAAAACCTCCAACAAAACAAAAATACAACCAGCAATATTACCACGACTCTTAAAAATGTTTTTAAAAAGGCCATAAATTCTACACCAACACATACCTGTAACGTCAAAAGAAAGACAGCAATAAATATAGTGACTATGTAGCTGCTAAATATAAACTGTTTATTGCTACATGTTCCTTTACAACTTATGTCTGACTTACAGGTACACCTTGATTAAAATTACACAAAGAATTAGAAATATTAAAATCCATCTAGATAAACATTTTTCACAATATTTCGCTTCCCCATCACCAGGGAATAGATTCTATCTGAACCATTAGACAGGCAACAGCAAACGGACGTTTTCATAAGTAGAAATGCAAATAACAGTCTGGCTTACTGTATGCATTCAAGGTTCTTTCGCTGTCACTGGGTGGGTGCACTCTGGTAGGACACCAGTCCATCACAGGGCAACATGCACTGTGTGTAAAGTTATTAGGTAAATCAGTATTTTGAACATATCATCATTTGTAGGCATATTTTCTAAATCACAGCTGGATAAACTTAATTCATGGATTTAAAATCAGACCATCAGTTTAAAACTCCCTCCAGCTTTTACATTAATATTTATGACATTTATAAATCACTCATATGTCTATAATCTTGGCAGATACATACTGCAGTAGGTATGTTGTTCAGTCAGTGTGTTCACCACAACATGTCTCAACATTAATGTTCTCAATAATCAAAATTGAATTACTTTAGTATAATATTTAGGATCCAGTCAAATGGACTTCCTCTGTCATTGATGCCGAAACAAGATACAGATTTTAGTGACTGAAATGCTAATACCCACAAATGAGATAATGTCTTTCATCTGGCATTACAGGAACAGAAAAGACTGGGAAGGGTAGGAAAAATGCAAATCGCAATCAATAGATATTTATTGAGCAGCTGTAAAGAATATTAGTTCAAAGACTGAATGACACACGGAAGGTATGTGATTGCAATATTATCCAATGAAAATGCAACAATATATTTACATCCAAGTCTATTTGATGACATCATGAAATGCAGTTTCGTTGTCGTCAGCTAGTGTAGGCTCTTTAATATGGGCACCAGAAATGACCTGGTGGGGTTATCCTCAGCACCCTGAGCATACAAGTTTAAGTCTCTTATTTTCATCCCGAATGTGTCAAAAAACAAACGTGACTGAAAGATTTTCGAGCCTCATGAGAGTACGGGTACAGGCAAACTGTTAGCTTCTAACAATATGTGCATCTATTTAAGAAGTTCATTTAGTCTCCAATCTATAAACACTTATGCTTGTTTTAAGCATAATTTTATTTTGTCATTCCAATGTCTTAAGAGAAAGACAAAACTCAGACCTGGACTGATTCTTCAGTCAATACTAATTCTTTACAAACACATGTTGTGATTTATGATCACATTAATAGTGAAAAATAATAATAATAAAAAAAGGTTCTTAGTTTTCTCCAGAATATTGTCAAAGCTTATTTTGTTATTATAAATCGAACATCACAATTATCTTCTCAATTGAATGTACGAGACACAGCAACACAGATGAACTTTTCTATTTTGTACTTTTATATAGATTATTAAGTTCAATGGATTGTGTAGCTCTAGTTCCAGTTAAATCCACATTAATACTGAAAACACAAGTATTTTACTTTCCACTCAGTGGTGACGCACAGCCACGTTGGTTACTTTAGCATTAATTATGTTAAACTACTTCTGAGCTCACATGGACAGATTATGCAGAGACATATGCAAGGCTTTTTGAACAAAGTTCTTTTGTGTAGAAGGTAACGAGACCACTTGACCAACGCTGTTTCAAAAGATCCCACTATGACACACTGTTACAAGCATGCACATCATTGCTGAATTGACAACAAATCTATGTAAATGCATGAAGCGAAAAGACTGCCTTCAAGAGATCCCTTCTGTTAAGATTCTTCGTGCCATTTTTTCCGAAAGCAGAGGGAAGGATGACAAAAAAAATTCCTCCCCCGCTGTCTGTGAGGGGAAATTGTGAATGAATGAGCAAAGACTGAGACAAACAAAGTAAATATGTAATCCCCTGATATGCGGAAAGGAGGAGATGTACCTCTTTTGGTCCCCACAGTTGCCTCGTTGCCTGGTTACATGCCTCTGGAGGCATTTCAGTGAGAGCAGGCCAGTTCCCTGCTCCAACGGTCACAGCAGTCAGTCTGTTTAGCATAATGGCCAAGGACAAGGGCAACGTACTCTGCTTCAGAACAAGCAACAACCAGCCTCTAACGATGAATAAGGCAGCGATCAAGTCCAAAACTTCACGGGCTGTGATGCACTCTTGAACTGAAATAGACCAATGAGCAACACAATTTGTTGGCCTTTATGGTTTAAGTGATTACAATCCCCACAGTGTCAGCAAGCAAACAACTCGGAGAGCAATATTTTATTTTGTCGATTTAAAAAAGAAAACCAGATGCACTTTTGATATTTGCTTTCCCCCAGTCCTGTGTGACAGTTATTTTTAGATCCTAAAGTGTTACTAGCAATAGAGCACTACATTCAATGAATGATTCAAGCCTTTGCAGGGTAATGCATAATTACACAGAAGCTCGCAAGGAATTCAAGAAACAGGACCCAGACACTTTTTTCCTCTCTCTTTAGTTGAGAGTAATAAAATGTCGAGCAGCATGTCATACCAGATTATTTGCCTGGGAACATTGTGTATACTCCACACCCAAAGGCTGGTGGAAATTCACAAACAGGGTTTTGGACATTTGATGGCGTTTCTTACCCTGTTTAGATCGAGATACACAAACATTTAATACTCTATGCATGGCTTTAAGGATATGGCAATATATTTTAATATTTAAGATTAATGGCTGCATGAATGGAGCTTGTTCTAAGGTAGATAAAACATTAGGTAAGCAGTGACATTATTGATTGTGTGCAATGAGTGTTTCACTTTAAACAAGCGCCAACTTGCACGGACTGAAAATATGCCAAATGATGGTATTTCTGGATTTTAGCAGATATAAAACTATTCATTTGTGATAAGTTTTCAGTTTTAAAAGTACACTCTCTGGCCAATTTACTAGGTACACCTTTCTGATTTAGTACAACTTATTTATTTAATGCCAACTCACAACACATGTCATATCATGGTACTTTGTAAAAAAAAAAAAACTAAATTTCAAATCATACAGACAAATATGATGGCTTAAGACAAATATTGAATTAGCAAATCACGCAACAGCAATGCATTAAGACATGTAAGGACAAATTAATGAAGTTTAAACCAAACATCAAAAAAAGGGAAGCTTAAACCAGTGAGTTTAGTCATTGTATTGCTGTTAAACAAAACAGTCTGAGTATTTTAGAAGCAGCTTATCTACTTGGTTTTTCACCCGTAACTTTTTGTCTGAACTACTGAGAAGGTGCAAAAAACGAAAACAAACGTATCCTGTGAGTCACAGACCTATTGTTGATGTCAGTCAAATAGCCAGACTGGCTTTAAATTAAAGAAAAAGCAACAATAGCTTAAGCAAGAAATGTTGCAGCTGAAGTTTGGAAGACATCTGACCTCTGATGGGCAACAGCAGCAGAAGACCACACCGGATGTCAGCTGAAAACAAGGATCCAAGTCTACAATTCACACAGATTCAGCGAAAGTGGAAAGATGTTGTGTGGTCTTTTAAATATTGATTTTGATACAATATTAAGATGGTTGGTTGTCATAACATGATAGCAAAGGTCTTAATGACTCAGGATGGTGCTGGTGGTGTAATCATGAAGGATAGCCTCTTGACACAGTCAGTACCAAACGGATGTAGGTTGAATGCCACACCTTACCAGAGTATTGCTGCTGTTGAATTCCAACAGCCTCCACAGTCACCAGGTCTCAATCAATCCAAGGAATGTTTTAGATGTTTCCCTGCTTTAAACACACCTGATTCAGGTTTCTGCGGTTCAGCAAAAGTCTGTCAAGCAGCCAGAAACCAGATGTACCTAAGCAGGGAAACATCTATAACACGCTGGGAGTTATGCCTTGAGGATTGTGATTGAAAAAAAAAAAAAAAAAATGACTCACATTCTGATGTGCAGCCAACAAATCTGCACCAACTATGAGGTACTATCATGTCATATTAGACCTGATACTGAGAGATATTTTTACCACCTTGTTGAATCTATGCCAAGATTCAACAATCTTGGCATAGATTGCAGTCAGAACTGCAATCTATGCAAAATACCAGCCGGTATGAAGCTGGTCAGTGACTATTTAATATACAACAAAGCCCCCAGTAATTTAATGTTAAATGATGCTGGTAAATATTTTTCTCTCTTTAAATGGTAATGTGGCACACAGCATTCAAACTGACAGTCAGTAATTGTAAACCCACCTGAGTGTCAAGCTAAAACGTAATTTAGCTTGACACTACATCGCTTAATGTGGTGCTACATTAAGCGACGTAGCACCACCTACATCGTTTAATCTGATATAGTTACAGCTCGAAAAGGTTATTTGTTACAAATGTTTGCCCTTCCTGAAATGTTAGAGGGCCGTCACCTGCTATTTTTACTCTGCAGGGTCAAAACAGACATGCTCACCCAACAAATGTAACAGCAGCAGCGCTTGGGGTGTTTACGCTCCAATCTCTGGCAGACAGTCAAATGAAATAAGGGAAAGCTTTGGTCACAGTTTCATCCCAGCTCTGCCAGCTAGGCGTGGGCTTTACAACAGAACAGAGCACCAAATACAACGCAGAATGGAGTCGCCGTCACCACGGTTGCCAGTTCAAAGTAGCCGAGCACAGTTATTAGTAAGCGTGGCCGGTAGCAGTGACTGAGACTGTTGTTAGCCATGCGTGGCTAGTCACAAGGGACCTAACCCAGAATGACACGTTGACATAATTTGGTGCAAATCAAGGCTGTGTTGTGTGAGCGCTTGTTTTGTGAATGCAGTAATGACTATGGCATGCATTTATAGTTAGTTTGGTTGAGTTGACATAAGCTTGCTCGCTCACTCCTGAAAAATGCTTTTAACAACTGCGTCACTCTTGGTGTAATCACACAGGAAAATCCTAAATTTACAGGCGCAGTTCCAAACGGCTTTCTCCTTGGATTTCATAATGCTCCGCTGCAAGCCTTGGTCTGTCACCGAAGCAACAAACAAGAATCTCAAACATTGGTGTTACCAAGACACAAACAACAAAGATATTTATGGCGCTGTCAAAATTCAACCATAACACTTCAGGCCAGCATTTATCAAAATATTTTTTTTCCTTTGTGATGGAATCTGGCTGAAAGGTTTGTCTGCTTGCTCCCCAAGGAAATGTGTATTTGTGAAGAAAATCACATTAATTTCAAGGCTATCAATAAGACTGACTGAAGTAACAAGTCCTTAACTATGATAACTTTGTAGTTAGGCTGCACAAAGTCTTCAATGCTTTTTATTTTTAACTCTAAATTATGGAAAAGATGTCCAAGGCTTAAGATACAAAACTGAAACAGGATGATGGATAATAGATCTCTCTGCATAAAATAGAGATAAAATAGAATGATTTCTCACAAATAAAGCCACTAACTTGGCCAACAAGTTAGTGATATTTTGTGAATTATTTTATTATTATTCACAAAATTATGACATAAGTTAGTATTTTCTCTCAGCTTATTAAAAATATTAGCTAAAACATGCATAAAAGGATAAATCAACCATTTTTTCAAACAGTGACAAAATGTCAGAGAAACAAACACTTGTAAAGTGCAGAAGATTTGGGTCTGATTGATATGCTGTGCAGTCAGCAGCTGAGCTTTACTGGAGGCCAGCATCACTGCATGAATAAAATCCTCGTAGCGCCAAACCAATCCAAGCCCCGTTAGCAAATGAGCTTAAGATGTCAGCTTAAAAGCCTTTCCTGAAACTGAGACGAGCGATCGGGCTGTGATGGCTCTCTCAGAGAGGCGGAGCCGAGTGCAGACCGATCTGTGTGTAAGTGTGAGCGTGAAGACAGTGTGAGAGCGAAAGAGTGACAAAAAGAAATTTCACCACACCTCTCCTCTGACTATAAATGCTCATCATGTTCTTCATTCCCGACACGTGTTGACAATCCTTTGTCATTTCAGCTGTGCAGTGGTTAGCTCTCCCATCTAAGCCTGGCTTCACACCGGCTATACGTTCTGTGCTTTGAGTGTGCCGTTGAGGCTTTCTGGCTCTTTCTTGTAAAACCAAAGGAGAAAGACGTCAACAGTGTTACTGATTTGTTGTCATCATCATAATCATCCTTTAGCACATGTTCATAATATCATACAGCCATAGTTTCAATCCAGCCGTCAAATGTGTATTATTGTTGAGCAGCGGGAGGGCTGGTGCCAATCACTGGGCGAGAGACGGGTAGAGTTGATGGAGAGAACCCACACATGCATTGGGAGAACATACAAAAAAGAGGGTCCAAACTCAAGACTTTTCTACTGCACAATCCCAAGAAAATAAAAATTATAGCAAAATCTAGACTTATTTCATGTGACTGAGGTCAAACTGTTGTGTTCACAGCCAAACAGACTTTAAAAAGAAACTGGAAGAAGTTAAAAGGAAATAAACAATATATATATATATATATATATATATATATATATATATATATATAAACTAAGAAAGATATGATAATATGATAAATACATATGATTTTATCTCAGAGCTTCAGGGCATTTTGTTCTTTCAGCATTTCAAACCCTCATTTTGTACAGCTGTTTGTCTTCCTACTTCGATTTAATACATGTAAAGAATTAATTTTATACCCATCGTACCCAAATCTGAGTTCTCCATTGCACTTAGGGATTGGCATGATATATAAATAAATATAAATATTTATTTCCACTTTATTTATTTATTTTTTGTTTGTTTCTGATCCATTTATGGCCAAAATAAAAGAAACTCTCTGAAAGGTTCTGCTGATAAATATTTACAAAGGTCATGTAACCACATTTCTTCATAGTATATGGAGTAGAATATAGAAATGTGCTTTTAGATGATTGGGTTTCAAAGCAGGAACACAGTTTTATCTAAATACAGTTCAGAACATCGTATTTTAAATATGAATGATGTATTCAAAAAATGTTCTCTAAATAGGTTCAGATCACTGAATGTGAAAAAACATTCATTTTTGTTTAAATGCTTCACCAATGTAAAATAATTAAAAACAAAACATTGTGATTAAGAACACACTGTGTGTGGGGGGAGTATTGGGGGGTTTACACAGACAAAACAAAAACAAAAAAACAAGACCAAAGTAAAAAAAAAAAAAAACTGTATTGATAACTGCAACATTAAATGTGGTTATGAAAGTCGAATAACAGAAAAAGACTGAAGCTACAAGTTCAACATTGCAAATTTTTTGCAAATTGTCCTGATAAAGATATGCCTGTTTTAACCACCTTTGATGTAAATGAGCAGGACTATGGAAAAAACCAATAAGTAGCTGCAATCCAATTTAGTGGTCATTCTTCTTTAGCGCATTTCTCCTGCAGAACTAGTTCACATGAATACTCAACTGGAATGTGGTCAGTTCATCTAGTTCATACCTTTGCTGTCATTTCTTTCTCAGACTAAACTGTCTGCCATTCAATGGACATAATAACCTGCGAAAACAATGCTCTCTCAAACGGCATGGAACTGAGCTAGCATAGCTGGAACTAACGCTTCTTTTAAACTCATTGGTTTGTTTGTCTTGTAAACAAAGTGATCAGTTAGCATGCAAAAAGATCCAACTGGCTTCTGGGGGTTCAGACAGACTGAAGTGACACCTTACAGCAACAGGAAATGTAAGACTTACATTAAAACCACAACAATAAGAGGGAGGTGCAGCATGATGACAAGACAAGCCTGTCTATTCACATCCTGCAATCTGTCTGATCCGTTCCTGACTTTCTTCTCACTCTCACTGGTTGGTTCATCCAGTCACATATTTAGTGTCAGACAGTGAAATCCTTTCATAGTTCATAATTCATACAGACAGCATGCATAATTCATGGACTTTCTGAACTGTTGGGTGACCTTCTCAAGCATTCCCTTCTATTCTTTCTCACACTGAGTCATGAAGTGACAGGAAAATACTACAAAAGGGATGATCGCCATCTCTCATAGGTCTTAACTTTTTCACGCCAAAGAAGCTTCTGCAATGGGAAGGTGGGAACATTTTAAGAGCTGAAGGTACTTAAAAATATATATATTGTAGGATCATCAGGAATAACTGTCAAAGCTGGCACAGAGCAAAGAAATAATAAAAGCCCATTGCTTACATGGTCGCACAAAGCAAGGCATGTTTGAGAAACTGGAGCACAGAGTTCTCTGCAGGAGCCAGATGCTTGCTTTAAATTTTCCCCATATTTAATTTCAAGTAAAAAAGAACTCCGTCTAAATAAAATAGAGTGAAACATGATGCCAGGGACAATTTCTGGAAGGAAGGCAGGAAAATAAGTTAACTAAACCAATGTAATCTCTCCCACCCCACAACACTGCACACTAGAGCCACATAAAGATTGTAGTAAAGTTATGCAAGGGTGTCCTCCCACAAAAGCAACAACAACAATGGGAGCAGGCCCTGCACGTCACCCACCTTTCACTTGGGTCTCATATTCGGCAATAATCTCTTTGTCCTTCTTGACTTTGGCCTGAGATGACATTTTGCGGCGAGCGGCTTGTGCAGTCCTCGGGCAGGAATCGAGGGTGTCGGTTGCCACAATGCGGCGTTCAGCCCCTCCGCAGTCCTCTCCGGGCAGCTGAGCAGCAAATCAGAACCAAATCATGTCCAGATCGACGCAACTTTCGGAGGTTAAACGCACTTCTGGTCCTCCTGGCTGCGGTGCTGCTGTGCTGCGTTCAGGGCGACGTCTTTTTCAAAGTGCTTAATGATCTCCGATCCTGACCACTCCTCCTCCTCTTCACCAGCACTCCTCAGTAAATCATGAACCAGTTCACGTCTAATGTACATGCAAACTCAACTCAAGCCTAGTGATAGGAGGTCCTTCAGAAAAGCATTCTTCAGTTTGCCTTTTTTTTTTCCTTTTCTTTTGTTAGCCTCGCCTTTTCTGTGCGAGTTCAATGCTGCTGCAGATTTGGCAGAATGGATGTGAAAGTCAGTGGGAGACTCCTCCCCCAGTCTTCTCCCCACTCTCTCTTTTCTTTCATGGATGATTTAAGATTCTTCTGTGTGAACTCAAATTAAAATCTGTCTCAATAACAGATTGCATGTTGTCTGCGGGGACACAGGCCATGACTTTGTGGGCATTCATGGGAATTAAATTTGCAGGCTTCCCAATGCCACAAATGTTGCAGTTTCACAGACACAGGGATGTATATGGTAGCGTAGCATGTATGGTCTTAGCAAGAAAATAACACTGCATCCTCATGGTTCAGTCAAGATATTATAGTCATGACGGAGATCTTGGCCTTTTAGTCTCCTATTTTCTGCATCATTGGTTATCGAAGCAGGGGCCAAGACCCAACTGCAGGTGATGAGAAGCCAAGTGTGAGTCTGGAGGATGTACAGGAAGCAAATTAAATTTACCGGTATATCTCCAAAGTTAGAATATTGTGAAAAAGTTTTCAAATGTTGTTTGTCACTTATTTCAGAAAGTAAAACTTGTTTATTAAATAGATTTATTAGACACAGTGGAACATTTCAAGCCTTTATTTTTTGTAATTGTAAGGATTCTGGCCCATGAATTGCTGGATCAATGCATTGTGGGGGAAATCAGTCTGTGGTTCTGCAGAGGTGATCTGGAAGTCCAACTTCAGGTCATCTTTATTGTTGCTTCTGGTGCCTCCCGTCTTCCTCTTGGCAGTACTCCATAGATTCTCTCTGGGGTTAAAGGTCAGGCCCATTTGCTAGAAAATCAAGCACAAGCACAGCTTTTGGTACCTTTGACTGTGATGATGACCTCTGGAAATGAATTCATATTTTAAAATGACAGCGGTACAAATGAAAATTTTTGCAGTACAAACTAGAACAAACACAAATGTTTGACACCAGCTTAATTTGATTTGAGGAAGGTGGAACGGGATAACTTCACTCAGGCAAAACAGATTATTAATGGATGTTAACATATTGACTGCATAGTGAGCCAATTGTAAACTATAGTCGATGCACTTATGAAACCTTTTCTGAAGCCAATGTCTGAGCTACATATAGCATTGAGCTGTTATGTGTAACTCAGTCTGACACGGTTTGCATACTTTGACATGACTTCCTGTATCATCTTAGTTACTATTTGCTATTTTTGATTTTTTTTTCTGTCTCCCAAAATATATCTTTGTCTCACATGAGAGCAGCTGCTGCAGTGAGAAGATTTCATTTTATCTGAGCAAAGAAATGCTCATCCACCTGTGTGGCAAATCCTCAGGAAATCTGTAGGTAAAAGTCAGTCTTAGACAAACTGAAAGATCCCTATAGGGATGCGGCAGAAAATCTCCCAAAGAATTGCCATTCCAACACAAGCTTTTGGGGAAAAACTAGGAAATAGACCTCAGCTTGAACTTTACACAAGCTATGTATTTTTGAAATAAAGTGAAAAAGTTGTGCCTACCCAGGCAACTGGGTATAATTTTAAGCAAAAAAAAAAGTACTCATAAGCAATCCTGCTTCTCTATACATGACACAAATAAATAATAGATTTGTTCTGGTTATAGTATTGGACCATTATATTGGGAAACAGTGGATTGCCCAGGTCACATACTGTTAACCTTGAAGAGTTAAAAATCGGTTATTTTGTGAGTTTATTATTCATTTTAAAACAATCCATTTTTAATTGAACCTCTGAAATGCTTTTATGGAGCAATTTGATCACATAAAATAAAAGTTCACCTCAGGTTCAAGCACGGTAAGTGCTTCAGGGCAAAAATGAGCAGCTTTTGTTTCAAATTTTGATTTCTATGCACACATTAAAATATAATTAGGTTTCTGAGAGAACATGGTTAATAGCAGAACAGATGCATTTAATTTTATATGACCTTATATGATCTATAATGCTTAGTTGAACAGATGTTACTTGTTTACATTCAACCCATTTCAATACACGAGTAATCCTGTCCAGACACAGGATCCCCCTCTGCAGAGGTGGTCAGTCCATCACAAGGCAACACAGGGATTTACAGCCATGCAAACATACTTTTAAATCCAAGCACAGACTGGAGTTGCCAGTTTGATATAAAATCCAGGCTTTGTGCTTTGTATGGATGTCAGAGTACATGTTGGCTCGAACTTTTTTGCATGCACAGGGAAACTACGCAATCTACAAAGAAAGGCCTCAGGCACGATTTGAACCTACGGCCTTCTTGTTGTTAGGCAACAGTGCTAACCGCCACATTTACAGAGTAGTCTATATTTACATTTATATTAGTTCTTTAATAAAGAAAATGATTAAATTAGTTCTTTAATAAAGAACTAGTAAAAATGTTTATAAAAAACATGTCATGCTACAGATATAGTATTTGTTTAAAGTTAAAGCTGGAAAATGTTCTCAAGATTAGCTGTTTTGTGCAAAAAAATACATAAACTCAAATAATTTTGCACACATTTCATAAAATATTGATCTTTAAAGCATTGTTCAGATTTTTATGCTAATGTCTGAGTAGAGCGAAGATACTCTAACATCAACAAAGTTTATGTGATATAAGATTAGCATTAAAGCAGAAGGATCAAAATGTATTGGCTGCCTAATTTTTAGGGTTATTGCCCATATGTTCAGCAAAACAAAATCTAAAAACATCTGCACAGAGCTCATTCTGAGCTGCATGATTCACTTGCATTTGGCTAATTCAAAGATAAGAATGATGAAGGTTCATTGCAACTGCTTCTCCAGGAGAGTGTTTCTTATCTGTCATCAGCCATATTCATCCTAACTCTAAAACTGATGATGAAGCAACAGAAAAAGCAGTCCGCAGTTTGCAGATGTGCCTTTCTAGTTTCAATTTATGACGCAACATTTTTCTGGAACAAGATGAACAAAGTAAAGCAAGAACCTACAAAACAATGTTCCATAAGCAAATATGAGCATCTGCACAAATACAAATATGTTTATTTTGATATTTCGCAATTTTTCTAAAGCTGTATTTGTTATGTAATATATGATATCATCTAAGCAAGAATAGGCAAGACAGAGGGCAGTTCAGTCACCCTTGGTAACAGCACGTACATGCAAAATAATACACAAATTAATAGTTACATCAAAAAATGTAAAAAATTGTAAAATTAGTGACAGACCAAAATAAATTCATATTAATATATTAAAAGTATGAACAACACTAAGGTTTATTTGCAGTATGCTTTTTTAATAACAGAAAACTGCAGCACAAAAGATAACAGCTTTACCTTCTGCAGAGACCAGATTAGTAAAATGTAATCATTCCCATGGAGAAAAGTAAAAAAAAAAAACATCTCAGTAAATATTGAATCTTGACTTTCATTTGAAAAATTAAGGCTCCAGGGTCTAAAGGAGGAATAAAGAACTAGATAATCTAACTTGTTGAAGGTACATTTTGAAGTTATCACAAGGAATGATAATTTGGGGAGCCAAGACATTTTAAAGTGTTGATTCATGGCATTTTTTCCAAGTCAGTGATCATAATAGCCATCTACCAAGAAGTTTTTGAGCACTTTATGTTTTTCTCTGCTGAAAAACTTTAAGAAGATGCCAATTTTATTTTCCAGCAGACCTTGGTAGCTGATCACACTCCCAAAGCTACCAACCACCTGACCAAAGCACCATAAATAATCTGTGGCGAGGGTGCCCAACTCCAGTATCATGCAATGTTTAGATCCAATCCTTCTAAAACACATTAATTAAATGACAACTAAATGACTGATTGTGAGGGAATTATTTGATTCAGGGTTGATGGAACAGGGACACATCTAAAAGAAGCACATTGTTAGGACTGGGCATGGACACACTTCTGGTTTGTGGGGTATTGTCATAACGAAGGAGAAAGACATGCTCAAGAGCAAGGTTAACAGGTTAAGTTTCATCAAATTATTTCCTTGTTTTCAAGATTTTGTTGACACTAGTGGCCTTTTCTCATTAAGAGGGTACTCAACTTTTTGTCACTTTATTTTATCTTATTTACTTTGTTTCAGCTGCGGCTGACATGAAAGCAATGTATAAATAACATTGATGATAATGAGCTTTTTTCAGAAGAGTAATTTGTCATAACTACCACACTTTTTCCTACCGTCACAGCACTCGCATTTGTTGCGCGCTATTTATTTAAATTTTATGACCTAAAGTTGTTGTTGCTACACGGACTCTTTTAAGGAGCACACATGCACACTTAAGCTACCTAACGGTTTATTTATTTTCAAATATTTTTAAAGCTATACAATTTCGGGTTTATACCAATTTGAAACTGATGCTCTGTAAAATGACAGAACATTATTTAATACTTTATATGAAGACAAACCTCAACGCTATTTAAACTGAGTAATTAGCCATTTTTTAGACAGAGCAAAAAAAAAACAACAACAAAAAAACGAAACAAAAACAAAATATTTTCAAAATGTATTTAAAAAATAATAAATTCAAATTTAAATCAAAATTTCCACCACCATCAACTCTGCCCTATGATAAAGCTAATGCAGATACTTTTCTGCCATCTGCTGGTATACACCAAAAAGACAACCGCCAAGAATATTTCCAATAGTTTATAAGGTAAGAATATTTGTCATCAATTCATTAGGAGACCTGTTATACACTAAGATCTGTCTTCATTGAGTTATAGTTTCATGGCTTGACATGTCCTATATTACATGATCTCTTTGGTATTCTTTTAATATGGCAGGCTGGTTTCAGTGTGACAAACTGACTGTAAGCTGTACTTTTTCCTGTCTGTCTTGTTGCTTGAGTCACCACAAATGTAAAAATAGGTGTTTTGCAAAAGGAGAAGTTGGCTGTGGTAATAAAGATTTCAGATTGCCAAATCATGAGAGTTTTTGTACCACTACTCATCTCTTTCATCTCTTGGTTTCTTCTCTTGCAAAACTCAAAGCTGCTGGTTAGAATTGATAGATGCTATGGATAGGCTTTGTAACTTTGTGGTATGTGACTTCTCCTTCAACACCGTGAAGCAGAAATAGGTCTAGACTGCTTGAAGAGGTTCTCAAACCTGCTATTCCATGTTGTTTATAATTCTCTTATTTAGAGCAGCTTATTGAGGCTGGGTATGTTTTTTTTAGGTGTCAGACACTGTCTACTGGAGGTAGTTGTGCAAGACTTTGTGTCACCAGCCACACCTTTCCACGCCCCTTCGACAAGTGGTGATTACACCAAAGCCAGGCTCGGAGCTATAAGCAGGTTGACTTTGGTTATGGGGTTAGAATCTACAGGGGAGCTCAAGTGTCAGGTCATATTGAAACATGTTGGGAACAGCCTTTTTGCTTCTTAATGGACTGCTTCTACTTCTACTTCTTTACACCACTCGCAGAAGGTAAAACTTTTATTTGTTGACTTTTCTACCTTTTTTTTAATTTATTTTTTTATTAAGGTTTACCAAGCATCACTTTTAAACTGAAGGCAAAATCGATTTAAAAAAAAACAATTCTGCAAGCTTTTACTGTTAGAGGTCACTGATGCTGTTTAAATCTTACATTGTTTTCTGTATTTATATGAAAAAGCTGTAAAATAACAAAAGTTTTATTTGCAAACACAAAGTTAGACTGAAACTCAACACTTTTATTCATTTTTACCCAGATGTCAAAAATGTTTTTTTTTTCTATCATTCATGAGCACTTCCTTTTCCAAGATTTTATGTAAACTTGAAACCTGTTCAGTGAGATTTATGAATTGCGAAATGTAGATATGCAAACCACCACGGTACACTAATTTGAATTTCCTCGTACCTGCCAGAAATAAAAATGAGCCTCCTCTTGATAAGGGCTCCATCCCGTGGCTCGGCCATGCTTTTGAGTTTTTAAAGGATCCTGCAAAATTTTTGGCACGCATGAAAGACAAACATGGAGACATCTTCACGGTAAGCTTCTATAATTACTGAAACATTAATCATTAAAAAGCAGTTCACATAAAAAGACGTCAAAACTTTAAACATTAAAAATTTAGAAAAAAAAAAAAAAAAAAAAAAAAAAAATTACGTGTGATCAAACATGTCCTTGTAGTTTCGTCTCGCTGGCATTTATGTGACAGTGCTGTTGGATCCAAACTCCTTTGATGGTGTCTTGAATGATGACACCAACAGCTTTGACTTCAACAATCGCAGAGGCCAGCTCTTGAAAAGGATCTTCAACCTGCAGCTCCCAGGCGACTATCCTTCTTCTGAAAAAAAATGGATGGAAAAGTAATGACTTGTTGATTTAAGTTAATCAAAAAATAACTTAAACTTTAAAATGGTTTCAGAAAAATCTAATTTTCAGATTTTATTATTATTTTTCAGACATTTTCACGGTGTCAATCAGCTGAAGCTCAGCACCTCCATGACTGCTCACCTTTCCGACGTGATGCTGAAAAGTTTTGAACCCCGCAGCCCGTCACAGTGGAGAGAGGATGGATTATTTGAGCTCTGTTACAGTCTTCTTTTCAGGTATCAGGATACATGAAAAGACACTCATGTCGTAATCGTTTACACAGTAGCAGAGTGACACATAGAATCTGTGTGTTTATACTTGACTGATTGCTGACAGGGCTGGATATCTCACATTGTTTGAGAGGAAGGATGATGTCGATGCCGTCTACCGGGAGTTCCGCAAGTTTGATGAGCTACTCACCAAACTGGCTCGAGGTTCACTGAAACGAGGCAAGCAGTTCCACTGAAATTGACAGCACGTTCCTGACATCCACCCTTTCTTCCTACTGTCACTGTAATCACAGTAGGCGTATGGGTCTAGGTTTCTGGACACGATTAAAACATCTGTTTACAGTTATTTCCAGAAGTAATTTTGTTACATTGTAAACCCAAACCTCAGTGTATTTTGATGGGGCTTTGCTTGGGAGACCAAAAGGAACTGGTCTCCCATCCAAATAAATTATTTGAGGTATTTAATTTTTTAGCTGGAAGAGTGGCAGGTTTTTATGGCCCTTTTTATTCAGGTACACCCATTAACAAGAGAAATAATTGTCTTCAGAAGATTACATAGCATGATGAAAGTCAGTGCTGATAGAAACCTTTACAAAGTCTCGTTTGCAGTTTGTGACAAGCCATGTATGATGTCACACCAAACGGTGCTTTGATCAGATTAAAGCAAAATGTATCTTTTTGTCCCTCCAAATGTTCGAAACCTAACGCTGTACATCAGCCTGAACACAATTACTTTCGTGTCAGTTCCTGCTAAACCTACCTGGAGCACGATGGTGGTAGTATCATGCTGTCAGGATAATTTGCTTGACAGGGACAGGAAAGCTGGTGACAAACCCCAACACTTGATGGTGTGTTTTGAATAGTTATCTTGGTTAGTTGAACGATTTGCTCACAGTTGCTCTGATGAGAACATTAAAACATGCTGGTTTCATTTCATTATTCCATCTATATTATTTATATTCTTTATTTTTCGTTGTTTTTGCTAAATTCTGATTGAATGCCGCGAAATATTTATAGCTAACTGTGAGTAATTTAAAATCATTTTAACCATCATTACAATATAAAATGCATATTATCATAAGATTTGAAATCCAGGTGTCCCTGCTCTTATTCCTGATTCTTGGAATACGTTAGCCAAAAATAATATAGTTTCAAACAGTCCATTGTTATATTGCTGTTGCTTCATCATCTGGTGATGTATTCGCAATATATTGTGTAACCCTACTCTGAAGGATTTGTGGCGCTAGCCGCAGTAAAAAGTGGCTCTACCAATTATTGGCTCAAGGGCGCGGAATCCATAAGTGCACTCCACAATTTGAAAAACACTGAAAACAATATATTATTCCCCTTCCACTCCTGCTGCATAAAATCCCAATAAAACACACTGATTGCCGTGACAAATCTTGTGAGGCACCGTTTCCTGCTCTTCAACGGCACTTTGTCAGCTGCACTTACCTGACGGCAAATGAACCTGTTTACCTACATCTCCAACTATTTTCAATAACAGAGGAAAGAAGAGTGGTCGCCACGTCCCAGGATCGACTGTGGGACCTGCTGTACTCAGGTCGTGTGAACGGTTCCTGGCAACAGAGCTACGTTCAGTTCCTGGAGGAAATGGGGGTAGATGCAGACATGCAGAAGAAAGCGCAACTGCTGCAGCTGTGGAACACCCAGGTGAGAGTTCTTTTTATTTAAAAAAAAAAAAAAAAGGAAAAAACACTGACTCACACACCCTTATTAGGCTGAACAGTGCGATCTTGTGACTGAAACACACAGTTGCCCTGCTAACCGTGCAAATCTAAGAAGAGCCAGATTCCTTGCTGTCAGATTACTCAGAGAAACCTGCCTCAACTTGTTACTTGACGAGGACTTCTTTTTGTTTTTCTTTTTGAAGTTTTGAACCTACGGATCAGTCTCCACATCATTTTATATGTCTTAAGGTTCAGTTCATTACTTGTGTAAACAGTAGTTTATTAGAAGAATGTAGTCATAGCTGAAAGGCTTCCTCGTTTATGTACGTCACACAGTTTCTGGCTCTTACACTCTCAGTCATGATTCAGTGCCAGTACATCATAGTTACATCATTTTTGAAAATTTTTATTTAAGATTAATGTTAACTCTGACTCTGCCCATGAAGCGTTGTTGAAACAGTGTTTACATAGTAACCCAGGAGTGAGGTACTGGTATAGACTTGAATACTAAATAGTTGTTCATCAGCCTAGACGAGTTCATGGCCGCACGGTGTTATTCCCCAGAGCAGCCAGGTGGGGGAGAAAGAGAGCCGTTCATAGCGTTTGCTGTTTATCGGTGCAACACTTTATCTGTAGTAATTTTACCCCTTGGTGAACCCGCCGTTCCCTCTGAAACAGAGACTCAGCTTTTCTGGGTAAATTTTGTCATTTCCATATACGTTTGTGCCTTATTATGGATAGTTGTGATATAGGAGGACGCAATCTGTGTGCGACAATGAAACTGGAGCAGCACTGCCGAGAACAGAGGGATTAGATTTTAGGATGGTGAGAGGTGCAGCAGGGATTGGGGTTTTCGTTTTTGTTATAGGATTACTTTTTTTTCTTTTTTTTTCTTGAGAAAATATAATGCTAACATTTAATTCTACCCACATACATCCACTGTAGATTGGAATGACCTTCCCATCCCATTCGGCTGAAACCTGAAATACATGTAAAAGTGATTTTTATTGCGAGTGGGATAAATCACATAGTTTGTGATAATATATTAATGAGATGCAAACACACTGTCGGGGTTGTATTCTTGTAAACTTAGCATATTGGCAAGAAATTAAGAACTGGAGCAGAGCTGTACAAAGGAAACTAATCAGCTGCTTTGTTTGGACCCCTTCAGCAAAGAGCTCCAAACATTGCTTAACTTTTCACAGAGGAAACTAATGTTCAAAACTCCCAATTTGTATTTCTGTTTATGAGGAACAAGATGGACTATTATTTTTGTCAAAAAAAGAAGAAAAATCAGTTCATTTGGCATTTAAAATAATTTAAAGGTATAGTCCCAACTTTAAGTGAGGTTCTGTAAGAGTAATAGTGTCCTTCCCTGTTGTAGACAGTTGTCATTTGTAAGTTTAGAGAAAATATAGTAAATTGCTAAAAGAGATGGAAAGTAGCTAGGCAAACTTAATCACCATTTTAACTTTTTATTTGGCTGTTTAAAAGAATCCAATGTGAAAATGTTCACATCCCTGCCACACAATGCTGTAGTAGTGTACATTAAAGGTGTACATTTTCAGAGGAGATTGGTTTTAAAGGTTGTTGATGTTTTCTCAGCCAAGCTATTTTCCTTACCAGCTACATCAGTCAGCACAATCAGCTGATTGGGAGTCTGCAGGGAGTTTTCCCAAATAGCCAAGAGGCCTGGAGAAGCACAGGAGGGTGATGTTACACAAATCACATCCTTCTGCCAAATCCACAGCTTAACTCCACTTACAGCAGACTGATGAGTCGCAGCTGGTCAGGTGGATTGATACAGTCTGGGTCCTCAATGTGTGTAACTCTAGCGTCGTTACATGGAACTGGTTCAGCTGAGACAAACGTGACAAACTCAACAGTGTCTTATAAAAATTAAGACATTTAATACGATATTCACGTTTTTGTTTGAGCTGTTTTAAATGACTAAATTCATCTAAAACAGAGGACTGGTCTGATTAGCTGAAGACTTATTTACTTTTTATAAACTCACAGCAACATGAAACTTATCCTTTGGACCCTGTGAGGGACCGGACTCAAACAAGGACAAAAAATGTTCAAAGTAGAAAAGCTTCAATTTAATTCTTCAAAAATCATCAACAAAGCATAAAAATTTAAAGCAAGAATAAATCAAAAGATAAATAACAAATTTGGATCCAAATTAACTGAGGTCAACTGAACTCTAAACACAAACAAAACTGACCTACCAAACAAAGAACAAAGGCTGCTTAAATAGGGGTGGAGTAACCCAAATCTACCACTGGAGGGAGGTCTGACCAAACAAAAGAACAAATAAATACAAAATTAACTAAAGCATTCTATAAACAAATAAAGCAAAATAACTTTAACTTAGCACAAACAATAAGTGAATATTTAAGTGACAAAATTAAATAAAAACTTGAAGTCTCCCTCTTCAGTCTTTCAGAAATTTGTAGATGGTTTACTCCAGGTTCCTCCACCAGCTGGTTCCTATAAGTGGCACCTCAAACAAAAACAAGTATAAATTAACCATTCAGACAGACATTCACTAAAGTGTGCACCCATGAGAAAATATATGTCTAAATGAAATAAACTATACTAATAAAGAAATCAATACTAACACTATGTGGTGGTGGTAAGGGCATCCACCACAGACCCCATAAAATCTTTGTACTGTGGCTTCTTGTAATAAGGTAAAAAAAAAAATTATTTTACTTCACATTTATGTTGTCTCACATGCAGTCCTTAAAAATACAATCTGATACTTTGTTAATACCCAGACTCCTTTGACATTTTAAAAGTTTTTTTTTTTTTTCTACTGAAAGACATTGAGAGGCCAGAAAGACAATGTGTTGTAACTCCTGTCACTTTTGGGGCAATTGCCCTGCTGTCAGTAGAGAGCTGACCTGAGATGTGGAGAGGTAAAAAGAACAGCTCCCTTAACCCTCAGCAATTACTGTCTGACAGGCTCAGGTGTCTGTCTCTGTGGATCTGACAGCAGTTTCTACAAAGTGTGGACTCATTTACTGGCTTCTTCTCACATCAGTCATATTCAGACAGCAACACTGCAGAAAACATTTAGGCTATGTTATAGGTATATTTCACTAAACATTGAATTATATTTTAATTCCATCTCCTGCACAGTTTTACAGACTAGATGTTGAAGTTAAAAACTGTTTGGTGATGTTTTTTTTTTCTTTCTTTTTAGTGCAATGCTGGACCGGCTGCCTTCTGGGTCCTCGGCTTCCTGCTCACTCACCCTGAGGCAATGGAGGCTGTTAAGTCAGAGATCAGAGGCCTTCCTTCTCTCCAGGATACTTCCCTGCAGCGACGCCCCTTGAACCAGCTGGAAGCACAGAGCACACCTGTGTTTGGTACATAAGCAGCTGCTTTGCTGCCGTTTATGCTGTCTAATTGCGCTCTCCCACCCCTGGTTTTTAATCACCTAATTGGGATGGACGCAACAATTGTTGCACTTGTTTGAAATAAGCATCTGAACTTTGAATCAGTTAAGTCAGTATTGCCTTTTTCAAATATTCTTTTCACAAATTATTGTACCTCTGTGGATGCTGCCTGAAGGCTCTTGCTGATTTAAGCAGTCGTGACAGGCCTCTGACATCATCCACTTCCCTGTCCTTTCTGCTCTGCAGATAGCGTTTTGAGTGAGACCTTACGGCTCACTGCCGCAGTAATGATCAATAGAGAAGTTGTTAAAGACAAGATCCTTCGGATGGCCAATGGAAAGGAGTACCACCTCAGACGTGGGGATCGAGTGTGTCTGTTTCCTTTCCTCAGCCCTCAGATGGACCCACAGATTCATGAAGAACCACAGGTATGCAGACAATACTGATAAGGAACTTCATTTGCGTATGCAACAGTTTACAGCATGTTTTGCTGCTATGTCACGCATGATTAAGGAGATTAACGCTGCTGTATTCAGTTATTATACAAATTTCTTGTTATTTGTAACAAGAAACAATGCTGAAAATGTTTAAATTTCCTTCTGCTTCGAAAAAATGGATAGTTTTTGTTTTGATTTATCACATAAAATCTTGATGAACTACAAGTTTGTGACTGTAAAGTGACAAAAACGGAAAAAGTTGTCAGTACTTTTACACAGCATGGTGTGATATCAGGACATTAGTACTAAGAAACCGACTTGTGAGCTAATCGGTGAACTGAGATAATTCATCTTTGTTAATTCTGCTTGTCTTCTGTGGTTACCGATCATAACAAAAAGTGAAACCTATTTTTGACAGAACGTATGGAGGAGGAAACAGACAACAGGGCTTTTTGCATCTCCTAATTCGTGCACATCTGTTTCGTTCTCCTCTCCCTTGACAGATGTTCAAGTATGATCGATTCCTAAATGAAGATAAAACGGTGAAGAAGGAATTCTACAAGAACGAGAAAAAGCTGAAGTACTTCACCTTGCCTTGGGGCGCGGGGAAGAGCATCTGCGTCGGAAAGGAGTTTGCTGTTACAGCCATTAAACAGTGAGTGTAAATCCACGGCCTTTTAATGTAATCCCCTGAGCATCTTGTTACTTGAAAAATGATGTGTTTGTAATCAAAGAATTCCGTCCCAGGCAACAAACCAGCAAAATCATACTTGAGTAATATTTTACATTGTAGCTTCAGCCATGCTTTCATGTTAGTAATCGCTAAAACTCAATAATGAGCTGGAATGAATGAAAGAGACATCTGGAGGACATTTTTTATATCAGGCAAAGGTTAAAGATCGCTCCATGTAATCAACAGCATCAAAGAGTGTTTGCTCTGCATTTTGTTGTCTACGTAAGGTTTGCCACGCAGCTACATTCTCACACAATGCTTAACGTTCTCCCTACAGATTTGTGTTCCTGTTTTTGACCCACTTTGATCTGGAGCTTTGCAGCCCCAACGATAAACTTCCACCAGTTAATCCCAGTCGCTTTGGCTTCGGGATGCTCCAGCCAGATGGAGATCTGCGGGTGAAATTCAGACTCAAGACGATGCAGCATGAAATGTGAAGTGTTGTAAAGCTTCACAATGTCTTGTTTGATAAACTTTGTTTTGGTTGAATGTGGAATTGGACTATTTATTTAGTTTTTATACCTTATCAGCTTGCCAGTAAATTTTATTTAAGTTTGTTGTGTGTTAAAAAAAATGTTGGGAATTAATGATAGAAAGTCATGTCACCCTCTGTTTTCCTTTTACTAAGCAGCAGCAAAAGGAGTGTCAGATCCTCCATAATCTTCCATAATTGTCATAATTGTGTTATTTATATATATATATATATATATATATATATATATATTCACAATGATTTCCAGTGAAGATTATTTTCTAGGGTTGATTCTTTGTGAAAGTAAAGTTTTGGATTTAATTCCTAAACTTAGTTTACATTTGGTAGACTACTTTTACTTAATGACTGTTGTTTTTATTTCCACTGTTCTGAATTTTGAGATAAGCTTGCCTTTGTTTCATTAATAAACAGGTCATTGACAAATGGATTTTAAAAGCTATCTGAATGTGTGCTGATGTATTGATTCAATTCAGTCTGGTTTGTTGTTACAGCAGACACACACGCACACACGCACACATGCCTTTAAGAGGCAGTTACACACAATTAAGGTTACTTTAGAAGACAAACAGATCCTAGTCCATTCATTTCAGTCATGCAGACATATTCAGTGCTAAATACATAAAATCTAATTTTATCTACATTCTAAAACAGGGCAGTCATGTTCAATTTATTATAGTTTCATTGGTTAAAAAAAAAGAAAGCATTCTATCTAAGGAAACCCATTTAGTGACAGCAGCAATCCCTCCTCCTTCTAAAGACACATAGCAACAGTGGACAGATGAGTCCATCGAGGTAACTTTGCAGTAATACCTAAGGACCTAAGGATGCATATATCAACAATGGAAAGGAAAAATGCCCTTTACCAGGAAGAAAACTGCAGCAATGCCAAAGACCTTTTGCAACAGGCTATCAGTTACTTTTTAAGTTTTCTCTTAAAAAGTAAGAGAAAACAAAGAAAACGCAGAAACGTTGTTCTAGCACTTTCTAAGTTAAAGACTTTTAATAGCACCAGTAGCTTTTATTGTGGCTTTATCTTAGTGAGCAACACAGCAAAGCAGATATCAATGGGATGAAAACTTGAGTTCATAAAATTGGTTGCAACAATAGCTTCTTCAATTTGTGCTGAATTCATCTTGCGCTCGGTGTATCAGAAGTCAGGTCTTGGAATGAGGTCACACCCCAAGTGGGTATGTTTTATCCAAGTCAGACAACCAGTGCAATTTGAAAATTGTCTTGGTTGTAGTGGTGCAATGGATTACTGTGTATTACTATGCTGGCGTTCCTGTAGTTTTCCGACTGGGATCTAAAGAAATAGACTTCCATATACAAATAAACTGCACCATTGCAACCAACTACCTCATTTGTCCTTTATTATATATCTGTTTGATTTAATTTCCAAGGTAGGGTTGACTCATTTCCAAAGATCATTGAGTGATCTTGGGATGGACAGCTTTGCAGTCCATCTCAAGTAACCATTCATGCTCACTTACTCAGAAGCCCACAAATGTAACGGGATGTAAAGGCAGGAGATTAAAGCACAAAAGGAAATAATATACAGGGGTATATTGGTGAAATGAATACATGTGTTACATGGGAAGTGAGGAAACCAAAGTGAAACAGTTCAGAAGTTGTGTTTCTTGTTACCTCAGACAGTACAACACAGTATTTCAGAAAAAAGAACAAGTGTGATGTGATGGTCTCTGACTGAGTTTCTGCTTCACAAATTCTTGGAATCCTGAGTTCTGTTATTTGTCAGAAAATCCCGAAGGAGAATGCATGACTGTCAGCGTGAAACTTCAGAGTCAAGCACATGACCTGTGCAGCAGGACAATGATATGCAACACAGCAAGTCCACCTCTCAATGATTTAACAAAAAAAGGTTTTAGAGTTGGTTCCCATTCATGCTTGGAAACTCTGCAGTGTGACTGAATTAAAACCTTTATGCAAAGAGGAGAACTTCTTCAAGTTGATGTTAAAGACCAGCAGCGAAATCTTGATGACATTTGTTGACCCCAAGAATGCCAAATGGGTTTATTATCTATTGAAGGCAATTATTTAAAAAGTAAAATCAGGTTGGTTTGAAAACGTTTCTTAAATTTAAAATTTAAAATTTTGATCTGGATGATCTGGAACACTAAAATAAATAAATAAATAAATAAATAAATAAATAAATAAATAAATAAATAAAATAAAACAGCAAAGCAGAAAAAAAAAAAGAAAACCTGGAAAAATACTCATTGGAGTCTCACAGCCTTGAAGCCCACAGCAGTGTGTTTACAGTGATTGAGGACTCGGTGCAGGAAGAGTTAAACAGATGTGGAGGGGAGTTCGGAGCTGCCATGAATCCACCTTCACAGAGATGCGGCGCCTCCTCGCACAGCTGACTGGGAACACAGGTAGTCCGTCCGAAGGGGGCTGTCTGTCGGCGTACTTGTTGATATCCGGGCGCAAACAGCGCGGTGAGACATGCGGAGCGGGAAGCCGGCGGGTTGGTGGTTCGGGTCGTGCTGAGGATCTGTCCCTGCCATGTCGGAGACAGAGGAGGGGGAGATGGGTTAAACCCCGGCAATTGTAAACCAATATCGACGCCTTCTGCTTTTTTCCTTTTTTCTTTCTTTCTTCCTTTTTTTTTTTTTTTTTTTTTTTTTTTTTTTTTTTTTTTTTTTTTTAAACCCCCTCTTTTCTTTTTTTTTTTTGCGTGGGGTTTTTTTTTT